GCTGACAGTGGGTTAGTGCCAGCTAGGGCGAGCAGGGAATGAGCAAAGGTCACATTGATGGGTTTCCCTTGCCATGACCTGGTGTTCAAACACATCAGCCCCCAGCTGAAATCCAGATGTCACCCCCCTGCACTGTCCCTGGCTCTCCAGCCCTTGAAGGGGAGCAGGCAAAGCTGCCTCCTTGCTGCAGGCGTTAGGGTCTGCTGGAGCCGCTGCCTGACCTGGTTCCTCTCTGCGAGGACTTTGCTCCTGAGAGTTGCCCCCAGCTCTGATCATCCCCACCTGCCCTGGGTGGGATCCCCCACAGAGGAGGTCCCTCAGGACATGCATCTCGGGCAGGTTCCCCTCTGGCTCTGCCACCTCCTTTGCTCCCAGCCTTGAAGCTCCTTTCCCTGTTGAAATTTCCCTTCCGACATTCCTGGGGCCCAGAGCCGAGGCTGATGGAGCAGCCAAAGTGCAGCCAGCCTGCCCGTAAAATGGCAGAGGAAGGACAGAGCCCAACGGGCTGATGGGTTTTATTGCTGGGGAGTTTTGATAGCCAGTTTCTCTGCACCCAGCAGGGATGTTAGAAGCAGAGAGGAATCTGACTCGCAGTATTTATTTTCCATTCAAGAAATTACCATAGATTTCTATGCAACTGAAGCGCAGCCCTCAGGTTCCTGGCAGGCTGCCCACGTGGCTTTTGAAGTTGCAAAGCTCTGGACATGCCTGCTTGAAAGCGTTTTACGATGTTCTTCTCGAAGCAAGCCAAGTTCAAAGGAAAGACTTCTCGGCTGGTGTAAATCAGCTGAGCCCTGCGATGATTGTTCAGAGCTGGCAGGGTTCATGTGGGCCCAGGGCTCGGACCACCCTGCCGGGGCACTGCTCACGGGGCTCCGCGAGCCCGTACGGATGTGCCAAAGGAAACCGTCGCCTTGCCTGGGCGAGGATGGATGTCCCGCTTTAGGGCCTTTGAAGTCAAGTAGCGGGCTCCCGACAGTCGGTAGCAGCCAGAGCCCAGATGAGCTCATTTTATCAGCCCTATTCAGGGTTCTGAGGGCAGTCCCCAGGAAAGTGAAGAGGGAGAGCGAAGGTAGCTGTTGGTGGGGGAACCCCAAGCTTGTGAATGGGATGAAATTTAGCACCGCTTCCCAAAGTGACTTCAGCTCAGGAGTGCTAGTTTGGCAGAGCCATTGTGGTTCAGCTGGCCTGACGGTCTGGATCCCACTCGCAAGAGGGATGCTACAGAGATGCCTCAGTGGTGTGAGGAACAGGGCTGAGACTATCCCTCTCCGGCTGCAGGTAATGGGATGGCGGGACAGCCTGAGCAGAGCGGGCGAGCCATAGGTGACACATGCAGGAGTTGACCTGTAAGGACACAGAGGTGGCAGTGGAGGCCAGAAAGGGGTGCAAGAGCTGGGACCCCAGCATGCCGGGCATCCTGCTGTGCCCACAGCTCCAGGACAGCTGCTCCTCTACCCTAACGACCACCACTGCAGGACACGCCGTGTGCTGCCTCTGGCTCTGGGGTCCTCCTCCTTCCTTCCCCTCACCATCCCTCTCTCCCACCTTTCTCTTTCTGCAGCTGCACATCACCAGCCAGACGTCCGCTGGGGAGGTGGTGAAGCTGGTGGTGCTGGAGATGAACGACGTCTCTCGCGGTGTGCTGGGCGGCTCAGCCGCCTTCTGCTACGGCGAGGAGCAGCTGGAGCACTTCGGACTGGTATTTGCCTCCGACGAGAGTGAGCGGTGGCTTCCCGATGACTTCTTGCCTCTGTCCCTCCAAACTAGCCAGCCCGAGGGACAGTTCTACGTCCGGATCAAGGAGACATCCCCTCTGGTGCTCCAGTACGGGCCAACCACCACCGTATGAGAGGAGGAGAGCCGGCCGGGCGGCACGGGGACCTCAGCTTCCAGAGAGCAGACAGCTCGTCTCTGATGCTTCCTTCTTCCACAGACACCCTCTCATCAGGCGTCCGCGGGGTGGAATGGGATCATACTGGGCTGTGTGTTATTTGTTTGTGTGTTGGTTTTTTTTGTTTTTTTGGGTTTTTTTTAACCAAAGAGACATCAAGACTCAGTTTTTCTGACAGCAGAAGAGGAGGGTGGAGTGCAGAGACCTCAGAGCTTGGGAGGAATCTCTGCAGGAATGGAATTTTTAAAAGTAAACATATTTAAGAGTAAAGGGGGGAAGAGAGAGAGGAAAAATATTACAAGAAGAAGCAGCAATACCTTTTTTTTTTTCTTTCTTCTTTTTCTGAAAAGCCTTGTTTGGGATTCACTGAAGGCAAAGCCACAGAGTTTTGCTGGGGAGGGCTGTGGCATCAATGAGGAGGGGGCAGGAGTCACAAGGACAGCACTGAGAAGGGTGTTTTCCTATCAGCCCGCCTTTCACTGTACCTGGAGAAACAATTCTTGCACATAGTTCTTGGAACAAAATGATATTATTATTTTTTTCCTGAAAAAAAAATTTAATAATAATTGTGCTAGAGACACTGGAGTTGTGTAAGAGGTGAAGACCCTTTGACTTGTTTTAAAGGCAAAAGGAACCCATGCAGCCAGCCCCATGCACATCCAGATGTGCACACAGCTGTGTTGATACCATCACTAGAGGATTGCTATAGGGCATCTACCACACCGCCCTGCACACCACCCCGGGATTTCCTTTCCTCCTCAGTTGCTGTTTTGTTCTGGTGATTGTGCTTGGCCTCTCTTGTACGTCCTATAGCATGACATTTTGTTAGCCACTAGGTCTCTTGTTAACAAGGTTATTTTTCTGATCTCCTGTGGTCCCTAGTAAAGATGACTGCTGCTGACTCTGTATCACTCCTTTCCTTCTTGCGGCTTGGTGTGTAGTGTTCCTTCAGGCCAGGGATTGTGCCCCTGGACTCGGCCCTG